AACTAAGAAGATACCACTGCAAAATTGTGAAGGAAAGGTAATAAGTTTTTTTTATTTTCTAACAAAATTAATAATAGAATCTGTATTTGTCAGTGAATTCTGACACCGTTTATTAACAGTAGCTGACTGACCACAAAATCTTTACATTTCAAAACATAACTTGGCTTCGGTAAATGCAAAGTTGAATTAAAGAGGACTAACATACAAAATATTTTTTAAATCAGCACAACATTATATTAGGACTAAGGAAGAATCACTTATACTTCAGCCGTGACCTTCGAGAGGGAGAAGGCCATGACACTTAATAAACATGACGGAGCTTTCCGTCCGATGTTATCGTCGGAAAGTCATCTGAATTTTTAAATTTTCGTCGGAAATATAACTTTATCATGTTGCTTAGTTAATTAAAATAGCTGAAAGAAATTAGGCTTTATATACATACACATTTATAAAATTTTTACAGATATTTTAATTAACTTTGTGCATAACTATAATTGAAAGAACCGAAAAACAAACGAACATTTTACAAAAATTTAAACACTCATAGACTCCAACCTTCAGCAAACCTTGTCAGTAGTCAACGCGCGAACGACATTTTTACAACTTTGAAAATGTGCACGTAGCGTATGTTGTAATTAACCATTCATTAATTTTAAATTAATAATTAATTGTAATCAATTTTATTACATTTAAAATCCATATACATATAAAACTGAATAATTAAAAATATACCTTGTAAATTATATGCACATTTAATTAGAAATTTTCTTTTAAACTCCTCAAGCATTCACTAATAAAAAGTACTTCAAATCACTACTAATCATAGAAAAAATCAGAAGCTATAAATCATACCTTTATTCTGGATATGATTTCTACAGGGAAATAAAATTTAAATAACCAAGAATGATACATATAAGTATTAAACAAAATACGCATAATTTATGAATGCAAAGATTTATATGTAGCATGCTTAGCAAGCTTAAGTTCTGATTTTGAGAATGTTTTTTATAACACAGTTCTTCATTTGCCTGCATATTTATTTTTTCAATCAAAACTGCTTCAAGAGTTTTAAGACCTAAATTTGGTCGAAATTCCGTCTGATTTTTTTAACAATAGAAAAATTCTTTCGCAAGCTGCATTTGAATGAGGTATTATTAAGACAGCAAGCATTACAGAAGGCAATACTTGTATTTATACACCCATTCATATTTTTAATTTGGCAATTTCTCCCCATGCTATATCAATACGCAAATCTACAATTTCTTTCAAATCATCTACTTGATACAGGAAAATTCAATTTTACTTGAAAGACATTTTCATCAATAATGGAGAAATATTCATCAAGTAAGAACCAGATGAAAATGGACTTCAGTGCTCAATTGATGTCAGCAACTTCAGCAATTTTAGAAATGGATCACTCAGTGGAAATTTATCAATTATATGAACAGCAGTTACAAAAAAAGCTCGCACAGAATTGAAAATGATTCACTTCACTTTCATTCAACTTGGCATTTTTTAATATAGTCTTGTTTCCGCACCAATCACAAATTTTCATTTTCTTTTGTTTACTATACTTCTGAAATGAATAGACGTTAGAGTAAACTCTTCATTTTCTTTAGAAATTACTGATGGTTTTACGAATCTAACAATAAATTCATTAAAAGTTTCAAAAAGTTCTCTTCTCATTTGTATATAAGGAGCTGTGTTGCAAATTAATATTTACTGTTAAAACAATGCAAAGTATTTTCAAAATAAAAGTACAATTTGGTGTCGGTGACTGTAAAATTTTTTTAATGTTTTTGCAATCTCTTCCTTCATTCTCACGTTATCTGGTTTATCTCCAAAAAATTTATCACAGCATCCCACTGTTCCAAAATCCTTGTTATAGATTCTAAAAGAGACAGCCATCTCGTACTGCAATATTTCAAAATTTTATGAGATTTTGCATTCTGTCCCAAAATTTGTTGAGCAACTTTGAAGCTATGCTTTCGTTTCAAACTTTTCTCCAAGTAAAAATATATATCTATTATCAACATTTCAATTTCTGAGCCAATTAATTTTTCAGTAGCTTTTTTTGCAGCTATATGCAAGAGGTGGCACGGACAACCTCGGGTGATTATACTTGGTTGATGCATTTTGATAAATGATGCTACACCTTTAACTTTCCAATCATATTACTAGCATTATCTGAAGAAAAATGATAAGCACTTTTTCCATTCTAAACCTTTGTTTTTAAAGTTTTCATTTATACATTAAAATACCTTCTCCTGTATTATTCGTGCATTCTAAAATAGAAATCAATGAAGTTATTCACTCCCTTTTCTTTACTGTAGTATGTTATAACCAATGGGTTACAGTTTGTTATCATTGTTATCATTACTTCCATCAGTACTTAGAGAAAATGATGTACTGCACACTGATTTTATAATATCAGCAACAGTATTTTCTGCAAGCGTTTTCACAATAGCAGCAGTTTTGGTATGACCCGCAGCTAAATTTTTTTGCTATGGCAGAAAGCTCTTTGGAATGATCCGAAACAGAAGCGGTAGATTATGTTCAATTAAAAAACGAAAAATAGCATTCGGCTTTTATAGGATCTGTTTATCATCTTTTATTAAGAAATTTGTATTTCTTTAGATTTTATAGTGCCAAGTTCTATATGCTTTTGAGAAAAACAATGCCGTTTACAGTCATCTTTTCCACCATGAGCAACTGAGAAGCTTGTTGCATACACTGCAGTGTGTGTGATTCACAGAAATTTCGGACGCTTTAATGCATGGAAATTCTGAAGAATATGAATCTTTAAACTTCTGCTTTGATAATTTTGGCTTCTTCGTTCGAGGCAGCATTATGATTAAAATCTTCACTGATTCACAGTCACAAGACACATGCTAAGCTCTCCGTAAACTACACAATGCTCCAATGCAGCCTAAACATGCATCAGCGAGGAACCTGGGAGACAGACAATTGGGTGGAACTATTGATAAGTCGTTAACGGTTGGAGTTACTGATCACGATTGGCTAATTCTTCAAAACTAGGAACGCACTCAACACGTGATATATGATAACACTAGTATTCAGCCAATCATCGGATGAATTAGTTGGTTCCGTTTTACGTTACTGGTTCTCCTGCTCTTGTTTCTGTAAAATCCGTTAGTTTTTTTCCATACTTTTGTAGCTCGTAGTTTTTCATGAATTTCCGTAGAAACTACGGAGAATCCGTAATAGTTGGAGTGTATGAACACTGATTGAAAATTGCCACTGTAATGATAAATTGGGAAGGGGTTCTTAAGACAATAATTAATATTTTACCTAGGCTCAAGTATTAATTTATTCGCATTTCAGAGCAAAATATATAACCATCAACTTCTATATCGCCAGCGCATGTAAATGAAATACTATATAAATTAGCTAATAAATGTGATAAAAAATTAAAAAATACTTCATACAAGAAACATAACAAAAAAGCCTTCCAACATTCATATTTGAAATGAAGTAACCTAACAAACAACATGCACAACTGGCAATAAATTTAAAAAAAAAAAAAAAAAAAAAAAAAAAAAAAAAAAAAAAAAGCATAAAATGATAATTGTAATCCCCATTATCCTAAAATTTAGAAAATAAAAATATGTATATACACCTGCATATGATTGAAAGAAATGGTGCTAAGAAACATCAGCATTACTACTAAATATTGTAATCCATAATTATTGCATTTTTAAATCATATAATATCTAAAAAACATTAAATTTTACATTAAGTGCAAATTGCAGTTCTGTTATTTTTCTCTTTGAATTTGTAGTATATCTCTTGGTATGAATATGAATGTTGCAAGTTATGTTTTTTAATTATTACATTTGAATACATTCCATTTTCATTGTTAATTTTTGTACATGCTTGCGATAGCAATAAAATTCAAGATAAATGGGAAAAAACTTTTAATAGTGTGCTATTTAATGAAGAGCAGATTTAAATGTGCAGTTCTTACTATTGTGTATATTATTCAAATCATTTCTGCCAAGTATACAAGGGAAAGTACCCAAAGGAATGTTATTGATTTGAAAAAATGAATAAAATGGCTGTGAGATGTAAATGTAAAATGGCTATAAATATATTTACATATGATAGAAAGAAATGATGTTAAATCATCAGCATTGCTACTAATTATTGTACTTTTAACAGCGTGCTATTTAAAAAATACTAAATGATTTTTTATTAATTGAAAATAGTAGTTCTTTTACTTTTTCCTTGTAACTTTTAAACACTGCATAGTTTATGTGTGTTTTAAAATACTGCCACATACACTATTTAAAATATTTTAAAAAAATTTTTAATATTTTAAAATGTGTGTTGTTTGTTAGGTTATCTAGTTTCAATATGATGTTGGAAGGCTTTTTTTTTCTATAAGATTTAGGTATGTATTATTTTTTAATCACATTTATTAGCTCCTTTATTAGCATTTCATTTACATAACCTGAGATATAGAAGTTGGGGTTATATATTTTGCTCTGAAAAGCGAATAAATTAATACTTGACCTAGTAAATATTAATTATTATCTTAAGAACACTTCCCAATTTATCATTACAGTGGCAATTTCAATCAGGGATTAATTTTTGTAAAATGTTCGTTTTTTTCAGTTCTTTGAATTATATTTAATTAATATTTGTAAAAGCTAACAGTTATGTATATAAATCCTCCTTTCTTTCAGCTATTTTAATTACTAAGCAACATAATAAAGTTATATTTCTGACGAAAATTTAAAAATTCAGATGACTTTCCGGCGATAACATCGGACGGAAAGCTCCGCCATGTTTATTAAGTGTCATGGCCTTCTCCCTCTCGAAGGTCACGCTTCAGCCCACTGAAGACAGCTATCACATATGTGCACTGATAAAGAAAACACCTTTCTTATTTGCAAAAGATTAACTAACACCACAGTGATAACTGATATGGCAGCAACAAACATTTCTTTATTACACAAATTTTGCATAAAAAGTACCTTATTACATCTTGAACTCTAAACTGGAAGTCCTCTGTCTTATTTTCTTTTTGTTGCATATTATCCAGGCATTGAGTTTCACTACTTTTAACTGATAAAGTAGTAAGTATGCAGCTTAAAAAATGCATTAGCTTTCCAGCAATTGTGTCTACCTGTACAATGTTTCCAGTTGATTTCACTTGGTTAACTGTCACTTGATTACAGTTGTCTGGTATCAAAAGCTTGAAAAAAAAAAAAAAAAAAAAAAAAAAAAAAAAAAAAAAAAAAAAATTGGTACATGTTCTGAGAGATATGCTTTTATGAAGCATTTACATCAAAGTTTATTTGCATGAAATATATTAAAAAACTAATCAAAAATTACTGGCCATCCAAAATGCAAAACACTGAAGGAAGCATCCAAACAGCATGAAACTGGCATCATGTATATAGCATGTTGTAATATGCAAATGATTATGATTTCAGTGCATGCGTACATCATGGGCAACTTCAGAGCTCTTTCCGATCTCTATATAAAGGGAGGAAAGATTGCAATTTTGAATAATATGATTGTTTTCTCACGAGATTTTTTATGTATGCAACTTCAGTACACCTTGTAGAAAAACATAAGCATCATTCAAGCAAATTTCTGAGCTCGACTGAGGCAAAATCGTTGTATACTGAGATTGCAAATTATCCTTCCAGAAAATCAGTCATAGTGTCAGATGTAGCCAAGCAACAATCGTGCAAATATGGAGTCAGTGAATGCAGGGAAGAACCAATGATGGACGGCAGCAATTGCAACTACCTCGTCGTACCAATCCATGGGAAGACAAGCATATTGTGTGTATGGTACTGATGGAGTGCACTGCAACATCTGCAACTATATCACAATAAATGCAGTCTGTAACATAAGAACTCGTGTCTGCATGAACACTACAATGTTATTTAAAGTATAATGGACTGTCTGCTAGGTATCCTTTGCTTCACTATCTTTAAATCACAGATGTTTGCAATGGAGTACTGAACAGCAAAGGTGGACATCCAAATGTCATGACGTGTTTTCGGACAAATCATGCTTCTGCATGGAGTATCACGATGGTAAAGGATTACACCTTGGAGACACTGTGGAGATAGGCTGCCCGACTGTTGTATTATGCATCGTCATACTGGTCCTGCATAAGACATTGTGATGTGGGGTGGTATTGCTACATCTCTCTCTATATGTTATATGCCAGATCTCTGATGCTATAAGCCAAATCTCTGAGGTCGTCTTCTCTTCATTATCTTCAGGGCTAGTCTGAGGCAACATTTTAATAGGGCAATGCATGATCACACCTTGCACACAATGTTCAAGCTTTCTTCTTCAAGTCCACTATATTGCACTGTTACTCTGGTCATGCCCATTCTCCAGATCTATCACTCATCGAACATATCTGATCAATGAATGAAGAATACTTAGCCCAGTATGCGACAGCTGCGGGTTCACAAGATGAGCTTCGGTTAAGTGTGGAGGCAGTATGGGTTGTCGTTCAATAACAACACATCGAAAGCCTCAATCACACAATGCCACAGTATGTAGCTGCTGTTATTGACAAACGTGAAGGCAATATTCATTACTGATTTTTTAGTCTTCCTTACCTCAAAGAAGGCTTTATTTCAAATTAATTAACATTAACTCTAATGTGTAACCTCTGAAATAAATTTGACATATCTTGTTCTTCTGTAATACATATTGGATGGCCAGTAATGCATGTTCAGTTAATTTTTACTAGACTGGGATACAATTCTATGATTTCATTTGTGAATCCAATGAATAGTAATTTAGCTATAATCTGTTACTTTAGAATAGGCACTTCAAAGTATTTCATCTCCCCCAGAGCAACAACTGCTCAAGAAGAAAGGTTCAATCCTTTTACTTTGCTAAAATCCCCTAGTTTTTTGTGTGTGATGATGACACACGTTATGATCATAAATGATGGAAGGGTCTATATGAAGACTTTGAAGTGCCTATTTTAAAGTAACAGACAGTATTACTGTACACACATTAATTACAATTAACAGCATTATAAAAAGACCAGTTAATACACAACATGTACATCATCAAGATCATAATTTGAACCTGCAACATATACTCAAAAATTAGCTTTATTCACTTAATCAGGAGTTTCCACTTGGTTCAGAATTGACACTTGGTCAGTGAAATTTTAAAAGGGTTCAATGATGAACAAGGAGTTTATTGGGGTTCAATAGTGAAATATCCAATGGCAATTAATCAGCATAATTAAGATCTCAATAATTAAAAAACATATTTATTAAATTGATAATTGTTTGTTTACAGCTACCATGCACTAAGGAAGAAATCCAACTAAATAAAGACTAAAATTATTTGATATATTTTTTTAAACCAAGTACATATTTAACTATATAAATTTTCTATGGAATAAGTGTAATATAAAAATGTAAAATGTAAGAACACAAATGCCATAAAAAATATGAAGAATGCAAAACTAGAATGGAAAACAAGGACAGGTAAAATATTTTTGCTGAGATGATTTAAAGATTAATTTGAGCAGTTTTATGACTTTTGTGCTATCAGAATCTGTGATTTTGTTTCCATATTGTGACTAGTTCCATATTTTTAAATTTGGGCTTCCACATGCCCATATTCACAGTAGTAGGTTTACGTCATTCAAAATTTGATGGCTCTATGTACCATTGTTTTATCACAATACGAGAAATACACATACATTTATGCAGATTTTTCATTACTTAATTTCTTCAAATATAATGCAGGACTCTAACATTTGGTGGCAACAGTTTGAAAAGTGAAACAGACATTTATAGTGAACCAATGAATATTCGCAAAACAAAAACAATAGTCCTTCAGGGACAAAGCCCCTTTAGATTAATTATTGAACAAAAAAATAATAAACCATTTTTTTTAAACTTCTGATTATATTCTTAATCTAATTATCTTTATTTTATGTGCAAATTTGTATCATGATGTATGTTTTATACTCTCTATTACAGAGAAAAATGCAAAGGGAGCAACAAATGATGAGAAATGAAGAAAACTATTTCTTTAAAAGGAGTTGGTGGAAGAAAATGTTGGAAGTCCCTGACTTATACAGACATTAAATTTATCTTCATTATTATTTTATTCAGTTCCAAGTATTTAAATCAGACAATTTTCACTTATAATTGAAGGTACAAATAAAAAAAAGTGCTGGAATTAGAGTTCTTTTTTTTAAGTTAAAACCTGTGATAATTTGGATAGATAAAAATGATGAAATCATTTATGCAAAATATAAAAAGGGAATATCTTTTAGAAGAGAAACTGGCTCTCATTCATGTCAAGCTGAAAAACTTAATTTAGTCTTTTATTTTTTCAGAAAGTTCAATGCAGAAAGAAAATTACTAGTGTCCATGATGTTAGAAACTCAGTAAATAGTCTAACCCAAATAGAGCAAGAAGATAATAATGCTTATAAAAAAACTTCAAATGAACAGCTGTTAAGATCTGAATGTAATATATATATATAATTATAATAAAAATTAAGAACACAGTGGTTTAAAATTTTATATAAAAATCAAATAAATGGGAATAATAAAGCAAATTTAACTTAAAAACAAACTCAAAAAATTCTTTTGGGCAGTGTTAAATACTTATTTCAGATTTTCATGATTTGTTTTCATAGATATGATGGTCTATGATACATACTTTGTTGCTCAATATCTCGAATAATTACTTTTTTGATGCATGATGGCTTTCTTGCATATCAAAATACTACTTTCAATTATTTCTGATTGCACTCTAAGTGAAATCTAAGGTGAAAATTTGAGTTACATATTTGAGAACTTGCATGATTTCTGTAGTATTATCGAAGTATAAATAAAAACTCTATTGTATCATCAAGACCAATTTATAAATTTCTGAAATCTTCAGACATTCCAATACTTTTTTGAAACTGCTAATTCTTTTTTTAAATAATCAGCTATAAATTCCATCTAAAAGTGTAATTTGAGTTTTAAAATCAGTAGTAAAAAATATTCTATAGTTATAAAACGATTTTGAAATTTTTATTGAAAATCATAGTTTAAACCATTTTCATAAACATTACACAGTAGCGGATTTTGCTTCTTTCAGAAAGATGCATTATAATTTTGCTCCACCAATGCCCTTAGTATTTTTGCTAATAAAGTTGTCCGTGATAATCATTCATATTGGATCTAAATTTAGTTTGTATTTTAACAATAATTTTGAGAATTCTCTCATACTTAGCACTGCTACAAGGATTTATCAAAATGGCCAACACTATTTTATTCATCAAATGTTATTTTACAATTTAAATTCCATCAGCTTTTTTCAGTGTTCTGATTAGAATAAAATTCTTGTTGGTTCCATAATTTTCAAGTTTTCTAACTGTAAATTGTAAAAGTGTGATTACAATTTATCTATTATAAGATCAATATTTTCATCTTTGAAAGTTATCAAATAAATGGAGATCTATTAAAAAATATCTTGCTCAGAAAATGTAAAAATATTTGCAAGTTCAGCATCCAAAATTATTTGACTTTTAATTGGGAATTTACATAATATAACCGTACTTAACGATTACATACTTGTAAAGCAAAAAAAACTGTAATACCAATGTACACCTGCAACTTTTACATTTCTTCTGAATATACAAAAAAAAAAAAAAAAAAAGTCATCTATATGCATTTATTGTAAACATGAGTATTTATTTATTTATTTTTTGCAAACATAACTAAGACAAAAAAATTGTTAATTCCCCAAGCAACTTTATCAAGCACATTAAACCCATATCATTTGCCTTGCACTAACTGGATGTCTGTAGAATAATTTTAACATGATATTTTCATATCCCAAACTGCACTATATTTTTTGGGGGGGAGGAGTGAAAAAATGAAATATCAAGTAGAACAAATAAAAATCATGAAACATTTTAGGAATAAGAAAAAATTACGAGAAATATGTTGTAAATAAAGCTGGCTTACAGCAACTGAGGAGGGCTTTAAGGCTGCATACACTTGTACTGCCTACAAAGATATGTGTATTTTGACTGACAGCTACCGTTCTATCCAGCATCTGTAAAAGGGGCCTCGTATTGGTGATGAGACTTACACTTTCTATTTTGGCATTACTGCAAAATATCTCTTCTAACCATGATGTACATCTGCAATGGATCCCTTCACATATTGGTCTCAGAGGTAATGAAATG